CAGTGTTATTATTACTACTTTGCATGCAACCTTATTTATAGATGCCTTGATTGGAAAAACAAACATTAGTGATATGTGACGCTAAAATCAATTTATTCTCCTAAAAGAGAACACAAGCATTCCCGACCATTTTATCACATGGGAATCCCATTAAACAGAACTGGGCAGTTACAGTTACTTTCATACATTTGCACTATAAGACAGAATGGAATGAATTATAATTTAACATGACAGTGATTGGCAGAATGACGTCAGCCATAAATTAACACTGCAGTGACTAATAGTATGACTTGTCTTGTAAATCAAGTGGTAGTGATTGACAGCATGGCATGACTCGTAAATTGACATATCTGTTCCTTCGTTGTCAGGAGGAGCAAATCAGACTTGGGTTGCTTAAAGTCCACTCGGACAGATTTTGCTGGAGTGAAGAAGCACAAGCGGCTACACTCATTGCCCAGTTGGAAATGGGTGATTTCCAAGCTGTTAAAAGGGTACGTCTAGCATTGCTTGTTCATCAACCTCGTTCCCAGGGCGTTGCTATTTCAGATTCAATATACAGTTAAATGGCGCCGCGAGAAGGAGATAGTAGAGAAAGCCAATAGTCCTTGCCTGTGAGCCTGAAGTTTCTCCAGACATACCCAATGAGCTAATTAATCTGGCTTTTGAAGGTGACAAATTTAACACTTCCTACTCAGTTATCTCTCAAACAAACTATTCTCCCAGCTATGAAAATTATAGATTTTTTTTAAGGCTTTGAAGCAAGCCTGAATTTTTCTAACGGAATTCTACTTAACAAATCTACATAATCTCTAAACAGGTAGAGAGAAAAAAGATAGACGAGATGAAACTGCCTGAAAAGCTTACCTACACTCTACCAACTAGTGATGCTTCTTCTATGAAAATTTTCGCGAAACTGTTAAGCGGAAGCTTCGAGACGCTCTTGGAGACTGAACAACTGAAAGTCACTATGTCATTGGTAGGTCTGCTATAACTGAACTTGCTATACATACTGGCTAACAACTAGTAAAAGACTTACCAACCTACTATTTATTGATCCACTAACCAACCCTGTCACTCACCTTTAAAAACGCAGCGAAAAAATATTCATTTAACGGCTGTAAATCGTAATTTAATAATGCTTTATTCTAGTGTCAGTCGGTCGTTCGGTCAGTCAGTGGCCAGATAGACATTCAATCAGTCGGTCAGGCGGTCGGTCGGTTGCTCGATCGGTCAGACAGACAGACAGACTGAAGGTCAGTCAGTCAGTCAGTCAGTCAGTCAGACAGTCAGACAGTCAGTCAGTCAGACAGTCAGACAGTCAGACAGTTAGTCAGTCAGCCAATCAGTAATCCACCAGGCAATTATTCAGTCAGTGCCTAGCTTATACATTTTCAGTTCGTTCGTTCGTTCGTTCCACCGGTGTTTCATATAACTTATTTCCTGTGCCATTTCTAGTTTCCCCAGGACGAGACCAGGCCAGGAATTGAACATGAGTGCAGGGCAAACTAGCCAATGGAAATGGGCAGTGAAGCTGACGAGTAAATGCTCGCGTGATTTCCCTGCATTGAAGAGTCAAGTGCAGTCACGAGATTTGTCAGCTTGTGGTAAGGCGAAGAAATTTGTCACTGGATGGACAAGCTCTGGCGTTTCTGGCAGTCATCACGAAGGCGCGAAACAGGTCACTCTAAAGGCTGGTACTTCATGTTCGCCTGAGCAGCATTCGCAGCGCCATTTGTGAAAGTGTTTTGAATAAAGGATTATTATCAACTTCTGACTACGTCAACGTATGTTGTTCAAGCTCCTACACCGGTTGAAACTGGCCCAAAGTAATCATCCCAGTGTTCAATCATTGCCCTGCATTCAGACGACAGCTGATGGCAATAGTATCTTAAACAGGAAGTAAAATACTGATCTTGAACTGCATTAATACTGAACTGTTCGCAGGAGCAATTCTTTTTGGAAGATGGGTCTTCTTTTTTTACTCGGTCCTGTAAATATGTACATATTATTTTCACGTAGTTGCATATATGAAGGTCCAGTTAGTTAAACTGTGTGCCATATATTCGTATTGGTGTTAATTGTAAACACTACACAAACGTCCATTTGTGACATAATGCAAAAGTTTGTTCGATCAAAAAAGACAAGTGTTCATAGAGGCCGTAGACTATACTGACTACAAGTTGCCATTCAGACTTTAAATTGGACAGACTGTCATCGCTTACATGAAGAAGCTTATGTCTTGAAGGAGATAAAGGTATGGGTGAGGGTCCACAATAGGGTTCTCAGATCCCGCTTTCCCGCCCATATTTTCCTGTTAATCCCGTCATCCCGTCCTTTTTTGCCTGCAAATCCCGATCCCGTCGTGTTAATTATTAATTTGTTAAATTATTAATTTAATAATTAACAAAGAAACCTTTCAAAAATAGATATTGCATAAAAGATCACAAAACGATTGAAAGTGTAGCAGATAAGTCAGCAGAAATGATTATAACGTTACTTTCTGTAAACGGTTTTCTGTTTTGTTTTCTTCTGCCCACGTATCAGTGAAAGAAAAAGATTGTTCATTTGCATGAGATGGCCCGTAAACATACCTGACAGTTTCCTTCAAAGCTTTCAGCGTCTCCTTGTTCTTTGAAATCTGGGCTCAGAACTTTTCTTTTCGAATGAAGGCATTCCTGCTCGCACATCCTTTTCGAAAATATACATACATACTTTACTTTATTTACCCTCGGATTTCAGAGTAGCTTATGCAGCTAATATCTCCGTGCATTTAACCGTCAGATNTTCCTGCTCGCACATCCTTTTCGAAAATATACATACATACTTTACTTTATTTACCCTCGGATTTCAGAGTAGCTTATGCAGCTAATATCTCCGTGCATTTAACCGTCAGATGAGAGATAGGCCACCACACCGGGAACTACGTCCCATACTCTTTTCGATCATTTACATCCCACAGAATTAATGTTGAATAAGGTGTGAATATGGCGACGCAATTTATAATGTCTCATAATTCGTTCGGTAAATCATTATCACCGCCATCCAGTGTGGCCATCCTGGCCAAAACAGGCCAAGCGCCCGGTCAAGCGCTCTGGAAAAGGTCGAAAGACTAAGAAAAACTAGCAAGGATCGGGGGCTGGGGGATGGTCAAGATTAGTGGCACAAGCGTCGAAAATATTGGAAATGGATAGCCTGCGTAGCTCGGCGGTGGTTAAGCAGTTTGAGCGCGCTAAGAGAGCGGCGAAGCCACGATAACGAGCGCCAAAGCCGCGAGGAGCCAATGGACAGATGTCATTAATATCAGAGGCCAACACAAAATAATGATTGAAATAGGACTCGAAGACCTCATACAGTCTCATGATACTAATGTAATCAAGCGATAATAGATACGTTTGACAGAACCTGACAGGATAGAGAGCCGTTGCTATTCAGTAGAAACCTGACACAGCTATATGCACAAAAGGTTCGTTTCTACCAGCTTGCCGTTTTTGTGCTGGTCAATTTACGAGGTCATGTGAGAATTTAAATCCCGTATCCCGCTCTATTCCCCTTGCGAATCTCGCATCCCAACACCATAAAAACACGAAATCCCGCTCCCGCTCGTAATTGTAATTTCCGCTTCCCGCCCCTGTTTTCAGCTCGAATCCCGAATATCACAGCGAAAAAAGCCCAAATACCGCATCCTGCCAAACCTATTGGGGACCCTCAAAATCGAACTGAAAATAAAATGTTATCTTTTTCAATTCTTCATCGATCGTTTAGCCTCAATCAGGAGAAGATCAAGGCAAAAGAGTGAATCGCCTGTATAGGGGTTATACCAAGGTAATACCTCTTAAGTTATTGCTGCTAGCCTTAGCGAGAAGCAACACTATTTTTGTGGGGCCTGGGCGCTTTATATTTTTTATCCAAATTCTTTTCGTTGAGAAGATGCAGTATGTAGGATCAGTGGCAGTAGTTGCTGAATTGTGTGTGAGTTGTACGTGCTCTACACGTCAGCACTTGCATGTAAGGGTCAAAGAAGGTAACTACTCAAAGGAAAAGTACGTAAATACTGCTAACGAAGGATTGGCGCTCAAGGCATCATCCCCATTAAATGAGACCTTGCCAGAAGTGCAACCATTGTAACGGGATTTAACAACGAAAACCACCACTATCTCCATTATCTCCTTCAAGAATGCCTCCTGTTATTACATGTGTAATGCGTGCGCGAAGAGAGTTGAAAGTGACGGGAAATACATGAGATGCGACAGCTGCAAGTTAAAGCAAAAGACCGACCCAGAAAAAAAGCAGCGGTATGCTAGAGTGCTTGTAAAGATCACTCAAGTCGAAACAAATTCTCAATATCACTGTTTCATTTTCATATTGTTAAACTATTCAACATGCGAGCAGCACAAACAGGTTCTTCCATCAGCAACCAAAGACGACATAACCGATGTTCTATTCGATGCTAAAAATATTCAGCTAAAACAGAAGATCGATTGCGCTGTAATGACCTGTAATTGATATCGTCGCGGAATAGTTTTGTTCTTCTCATGTTCAACGTAAGGTTACAAGATTACATCACAACTACAAAAAAGCTCAAAAACATTTAGCGGTAACAAAAAGTTATGGGATGTGTAATTGACATCTTTGCTTATTGGAACTAGTTGTTGAGAAAATTCAAGCCCCTCGCTCAAAGTGACCATTCATCAGCCATTGCTGATTATGTGAAAACCACTGGTCACAACATAAAATGGGATCATTTTGACTTTTTAGCGTCCGGCAAAACTGACTTTCATTGCAAAATTGAAGACACTGTTCATTCAAGAGCTAAAGCCTACCTTTAATATCAATGTCAGTATTGAGCTTTATAAGCTGTTTCTTCTCATGATGTCTAGACAGGTTAACGTATTGCTGCAGATCATTTTTCTCAGTCTGGGTTCCAGGCGTCTCATTTTTACGATATATATACATATACAGTTTTCAAAAACTGATTGCGAGGGTCGCTTTTGAAAATGTATGTAGACTAGCATACGAAACGTCAAGTTCCATATTAAAATGCGTTGGAAGACAATGTTTATCACTGCTCAGTTGTGTTATATTCTGGGATGGTTCTTATTATAATTATATATAACCTACGTCATTATTTTTTTCATAAATCGCCTCGCAGCACTTCACTTGCCACTAGCAACTGCTAGTTTTTAGACATAAACAACTGCCAGTTCTTCCGCGCGAGGATGCTACTCGCGCAATGCGTTGCCAGCCCAGGCGACCTTCTTGCCACGACCTGAGTTGAAATGGCGGGGAATGCGGTGAAAAGTCACTTTACATGTTTTGATTTTCAAAGGATGTTTCATAGTTCAGATGTTTTCTACACCCTCAGCTGTCTTTTTGTTCGGCTGGGCTTTCGTTTGCTTTGTACTCGTTTGGCTGTTCATTACACTACACCAGAGGAATTTGAAAACGGAAGTTTCACCCTGAAATCACATCAAATGTTCATTTTGTCCACACTACGCCGGAGAAATTTGAAAACGCAACAATCACCGGTCATTTTGGATTTGTGTTTGAGGAACTGACTCGAGCAGGGAAATCTCATGATGATAGCAACAACATTTTATCGAAAAGTTTCGTTTTCAAAATGTTTTCACACCGAAACTCAAAGCCTGCGTCGTCAAATTCCTCCGGTTTGAAGAGCGTTTTCGGGAAGCTACGTTTTCGTGGCGGATTAGTGTGGATGGAAGGCCTAACCCGGAGAAATAAAGCTCTGATTTCAATTTCCTCCGGCGTAATGGCTATGGGGCCTCGGCTTTAGGGAGTTTAAGAGTGTGTTCATGAGAAAACCAGGCGGGAGTTGAGACAGCTGAAATCGCTAATTTCGCTCAAACTTGGCACAAATGTTGGTTTTGGTGAGTGCGCCACGTCAGGAGTCTGCTACTCTTCCAGGGCCTATGATTGCTTAAAGTGTATATGCACCAGCGGCAAAACTGTTGTCATGGCAACAGTACTGAGGGTGTCATTTTGTTTCTTTTGTGATGCACATTTGGAGTGCCAAGTTTCAAGAATACTGCCTCAATATCTCTAGAGATATTGTTTATTCAGTATTTTACCATTTCTTTGTTGCAAACAACATGACGTCATAACTGCTCTAATTTGCATAATACAAAAACGTCAATATCCCTAAAACGAAAAAAGATATTGCAAAAAGAAAAACGCCATTCTTCTGTATTTTGAAAGGCCTTTCTAGTAAGCAGAAATTATTTTTCATGTCATGTACACTTTAAGGAGAAAAAAAAAAAAACAGGAAAACCTCTGGTGGAACATTTCTAAGTTATCCTCTTATATATATTTAGGGCTCCAAAGCACTTTCAGGTACGACGAAATTAAACATTGTCAACACCATGCATGTCTGTTAACTGATGGCTGAATGTCGTTGTTAGATACGGTCGAACCTCTCTAAAACGGCCACCTTGGGGAAAGAGGAAAGCCGGCCGTTGTAGATAGATGCCCGTTAAGGAGAGTGTANTCATGGTAGGTGTTAGCGAGATCCTTTCGCTATTCATCAAGATCTTGTCGTCAGTTATTACTTTCGAGAAGGAACGTTGATGGCATTTTTAACCTAACCCTAGCCCTAACCCTAACCCTAAAATTAGATACGAATAATCAAAATGATATTCTTGAAAATTGCTGAAGGGATTCATTGCCTGTCAGTTGCCAGTTTATAATTTCCCTGCTTACGCAGCAAGACTTACATAAAAGTCAGCTTCTTTGGAAACTATTTGCTTCTTTCACTTTACACTGTAAAAGTCAATCACCTGCTTGCCATCTGGACTTGATGCGTTTTTTAATAGCGATCCCAATCGCCGCGAAAGAAATATTTCACGTTCTTTTTGCTGACCTTTCTTACTGTATATATTTCTATACCTAGATATCGATGAATGTCAGTCATTGGTTCCCAGTCCCTGTATTTGCGGAGTACCTGGGGAAGCTTGTGGTGCAGCTTGTACAAATACTGTCCCAAACTACTTTTGCACCTGCGCAAAAGGATTCCAGCTGCGAAGCGGTGGAACAATTTGTGATGGTAATCTAGTTTGGTTTTGAGTTTGGATGCGTTCGATTGGGAAATCCAGAATTCGATCGCAAACCAGTTTTGACGCACTGAAATCCTTCTCGGAGCAAATGAAAATTTGCATTTCATGTCATAGATTTGCTACTTTTGTGGTTATGTAGTTGAAAATCCGTGTATAAAAAAAGGATTTGCAAAACTGTTTGATAAACAGCGGTCTGTTGTCCGCCAACTGTGGGCTTGTATTAATTCGTGGTAAAGCTGGGCTTGCAACTCTGCGAAGTTTTACCGTGAAATCCGGATTCCCACTGGAAAGCACCCTTTGTGTTTTTTCAGTAATTGAAAGGGATGTGTGCCGCATCAGTGGTATTATTGTGCTTTTAATATTGTAATGATGTCGAAAAGCCTAATAGGGAGCATGTAAAGGTATTATGTAACACCCATAGTAAAAACGCTTCCTGCACCACCACAACATTATGTTCATAACACTTTGGTCACCATATACTAGAAGAACTAATCAGCCAATCAGAAAACTATATTGTTGCTGATTGCCGGTTATCGTGTTGTTCTGTGTAAGAATAGCAATCGTTCTTTTGTATGCAAATTAACACTCTTGCTTTGAACGAGACTGACCACATTAAATTTCTTGCATGGTTTGTCTGTCTTCAGATATCAACGAGTGTTCAACAGCGAACGGAGGATGCTCACAGAGGTGCTACAATTTCCCTGGAACATTCTCGTGTGGATGTTATAGTGGATATCGCCTGACCAGCCAGAACAATGGCACTCACTGTGAAGGTGAAGAAGTTGTATTCTTGAAACCGTGGGTTGATAATGAGCTGAGTAGGTCCTATCTTTACGTTCGTTTACAATGCTATATATTCTCTTCTCGCGGAGGTCTTGTTTTTGACTTAGCCATGTATTACACTGTGATGAAACACGACGGGCATTTGAGAACATGAGCAAAATGTAGAAAACACGAGCCGCTGGCGAGTGTTTTCTACATATCTCGAGTGTTCTCATATGTCTGGAGTGTTTTATCACAGCGTAATACACGGCTCACGCTTTTTCTATGTTTTATACTTTGATAAAACATGGGTTTTTGACCAATTAGAGCGCGCGCAGGGTCCTATCTATATTATTACGTTATACATGGGATTTTGGTCCATTTTCTACAGTCCGGTGTAGGTGAATCTCACTTTCATAACACAAAACCACCTTTCATCATGTCGGGCATAAACACAACAAACAAGATCAAATCCATCTCAGGGCAAATTCTGCGAATGAAACTAGTGTCAGTATGAACCTAGTCCAAGAGTGAACGTACTCGCATAGTGGAAATTCCATCATGCAGCGAACGGGCTGCATGAGAGAGATTTGTTTTCATTTTCAGATATAGACGAATGTCAGTCAAGTAATGGTTTCTGCACTCACACGTGTGTCAATACTGAGGGCTCCTATCGATGTGAATGTCGCTCCGGATTTTACCTGGATTCAAATGGACGATCTTGCTCAGGTGCGATGGTGTTAGTGGTTTGAGTTTTCTAGTGTTTGCGGAATGCTGATTTCAAACTTATCATGATGTAATGACTACACTTTTTGACCAGACACTATGAGGTATTGTGAAACGTTTCAATGTGTAAATTATTCATTAATGTCAAAGGGCACTTTCATGGCAACGACTGTGGTTTTGCCCGTTCCTAGTTTAGAGTTACTTTTCGATACTTTCATTCACGGTTTCTGACGTTTCGTCCGCTATCTTTTTGCTGACTTTTATGACATGTTTTTAAAACTAAACTACGAGTGATTAATCGTCGTTTTCTTGCTTCCCAGATCACGATGAATGCTTGTTAGGCCATCATGGTTGTCAGCAAGTGTGCAACAACTTCCTGGGAAGCTTCTACTGCTCATGTCAAACTGGATATGCATTAAACATAGACAACAAGACTTGTTCTGGTAAGCGCTGTTAACACGTGCTATTTTGAGACATGTTTAGTTGTGATGTTGCATTCTCTTCAATAGTTGACAATTACTCGCAGGTCTTTGTTTGTATATTTGTTTCTCGGTTTACCTCCTTGCTTTCTTGTTAGTTTGTGAATTGTACGATTCTAAGAAAACGCAGCATGCATAGGTGATTCCTGGAGCCATCCATAGATTTTCACTTCAGAGTGATGGTTTCTATTTTAAAATATTAATTCAACCATGTAATCACTTTATAAATCAAATACAAGCAGCAATTGTTTATATTTTTTCTCAGACGTGGATGAATGCAATCCGGTGTTTGTACCGAGTCTCAACAAGACAATAATACCAGCAGGATGCGATCAACTTTGTCACAACACGCAAGGAAATTATACCTGCAGTTGCAACCAGGGCTTTCAGCTGTTGTATGATGGAAAACGGTGCCGAGGTAAATGGTTTCTCTGATTTCGTGGACCCTGTAAAGAAATGAAAAGAAAAATTCCTTGCTTACTGATTACCGGTTATCTAACTGGCTGACTGACTGAACGATCGACCGACCTACCGACCGACCGACCGACCGACTGACCGACCGACCGACCGACCGACCGACCGACCGACCAATCAATCAATCAGTCAACCGATCAATCAAGGACTGATTCTCTACTCATTGGGGACACTTAATGATACTAATTGGGGACACTTTAAATGCACGCTCGCACGTTTGATTTACTGGTCAGTTGTGTGCATAATACGGGGCTCTAAGCGTCTCAGTAGTGACCTGAGTTGCAATCCTTTGAAATGCTTTTTTTTTTCTTTGAAAAGGTGCATATTAAACCCTTCTGTAAGTTACCCTTTCTTAACAGGCATGTATTTGTCGCCAAGATTTGCTGAAAGCACTCCAGGTGATATTAAAGAAATCTAGTGCTTTCGTTGTACCATATAAGCGCCAAAAACTGTAAAATGGGAGATCGCGATGTGAAATTTGTTTTTGAATCATTGGAAAGAAAGTGACGTCAGTGACGCACTCGCTTAACGGCTCGCGTGCAACCTGTTTGCTCTTACCACATTTTGACGACTTTTGTGATCCATTACTGAACAGACGGACGACAACATGGAATCTATTTGTCAAATAAAGCACGTGTTATGCGTGCTTTATTGCGCTTTATTACTGTATATAGCTCTGTCTCACAAGGACTGGGAACTACCGAATTCACGAATTTGATTGGCTGAAATCGATATTGAAAGCGGTCTAGATTTTCCCATTTAGACCGGTAATGTTTTGCCGTAAAAAAGGTTGCAAACTAAGATGCGAAGTCATTGACTGTTTTCATCTAACAATATTTATTTATGGAAGAGCCAAAACCCAGATGAGAAAAAAAAAGTAAAGAGGACGAGCAAACTTTAGCAGAACTAAATTCAGCTCATCGCCGTTCGCGAGCAAAATGACAGTTAGTACAAACCAGTTACATTACGAATTAAATTACTTTTGTTTGTGCCATATAATAAACATCTTATTAACCGAGCTTAGTCGGTCTGAATGGGAAAATCTTGACCTCGGTCGTGTGTACAGACCGCTCTGCGTTCGGTCTGTACTCACGACCTCGGTCAAGATTCTCCCATACAGACCTCCTGCTCGGTTAATAAGAGCTAAATAATGGCCTCGAATAGACCAATCGGAGCACTTAATTATCTCAATATTTTAGAATTTGAGAATTTGATTCACGCAAGAACCGGCAAGAACTGTCCCATATAGTCCAGTTCTTTTGAAGGATTGACCATAATTCTGATCAGAAATGACAAGTTAATATAATCTTTGTTGGAGGAAGGTCAATACTCTACTGCGCTCCTGAAAAAGAGACGTGTCTATTAAAAATTGTAAGAAATGATTCATTCCATGCTGGATAGGAGCAAGAAATTATACACTCCTCTCTTTGGATGAGTTAACAGCAAGAGAGAAGGGGTCGGGGAACCAAAAAAGGCTTGTCTTCACTAGCGCTGAGGCATAAGCCAACATACGCAGATGCAGTAAGATATTGATAATTAGCGTATTTTGCTGGGAATTTTCCGACCAAATGGCGCTAATTATCAGCATTTTACTGCGCCTGCGTATGTCGCCTTATGCTTATGCGCTAGTGAAAAGCAGCCTTGAGTAAATGCTGTTTTGTTCTCCTATTTTCCTATTTCACGTTTCATGCAATCTCAGTCAAAATGCCAGTATTGATATGTCGTTATCTTCATATAAGCTTTCAGTAAATTTTCTATTTAACAAATTGACGTCAATTTTTCAAGCGTCTGTCCTGTTATTGATCATGAATTTCGTCATAACATCGTCAAAGTCGTCTGCGGATCCACTCGGCTTTCGCCTCATGGATTCACAGCTCCTTTGACAATGTTATGACGAATTTCATTGTCAGTAACAGGACAGACCCATGAAAAACTGACGTCAATTTGTTTCTTACGATAACAAATTGTTAAATTGTTCGCTTTCGCTCGTTGGCGCATCGCATACATTTTAAATTCATGTGTCTGTTCGCTTATTGACAATGAAAATTAGCTAATGAGCGCGCGAGAATTTCTACAGTTATCGTAAAAAAATAATGATATGCCTAAGAAGAATCAGAATGTTAATGAAATAATCAAATAGACTGTAATAATAGAGAGAGTGAGGGCTCTCAGTCGATGGGAATGACTTCGTAACGGGTTCTATTATGCTTTAGTTGCACCATGCCGAAGTTTTTGTACAAGAAGAGTAACGCATGTCTAACTACGGTAACAAAGCATACAACTGAATTTGAAGGAAACAAAGTTTATTAGAATCGCATAATTACTTGGAATTCTTCCGCACAATGCTGTTCTGCTTTACCCTAAATGAACTACAACAAAATCGATACTGGCAACGATTGTTTTTTTATGTTTATCGTTTTTTCCACCGAACCTTCCTGACAAGGGTTCAATCAAAATACCAAATGCTTACTTCAAAACTCTGTTAGACCTACACCTACAAAATGTTATTACTGTTCGTTGAATCTTGTTACACTGTGGAGTCTTGTTCTACAAGTCTCCCACGCTCTTTAATGACTGTACCTCACATAACTACTTGGAATATTTTTCCCCACAATGCTGTTCTGCTTCCCTAAAGCAGAACTTCCTGAAAAGGGTTAAATCAAAATACCAAATGCTTACTTGAAAACTCATTTAGACGTACACCTACAAAATGTTATTAATGTTTGTTGACTGTCGTTATTCTCTAAGACCATAGGTGTCTCCAAGGCTCTTTGATCGCCTAAAACTCATCAGTTAGCGTTGATTCTTACCTATTAAAATGAAAAAACAAAAAAATGAAAGATAAAAAATCTTAAGTTGATGACAGTAGACACAAAATAGCAAAGGTCAAAAACCTTTGGCACTCTCAAGAGAACACCTCGGCACAAAATACTTAGGCAGGTCTGCATACGAGCCAAGGCCCATCAGGCCTGAGCGGGTTCTGAGCTTATCCTGGTTTCTGTAGCATAAACTGAGCGAATAGGAGTATTTCTTCTCCCCCCTTGGATGGAATGCTAGTCCATCACAGCGTTATACTTCCCAGCATTAAATTCGCTGGTACTAATTTATACACCTGGGTGCGGAGAGGCACTATGAGAGTGAAGTGTCCTACCCTAGAACCCAGTCTATGAGTGCTACGCGTGGTTTGGAGTCGTTTTTCTAAACCAAAGTTGCATTTCGTTATCACATGCAGAAAATCAGACAAAAATATGCATTAGTCGAACTTGCCATCTGTTTCCTCCTCTTTCAATAGATGTGGTGGATCAAAGCGAGTTCCCGTAAGGTATCCAATGAAGAAAACCAACATCAGAAGGGAGACAAAGGCCTCTGAAAATGTAAAGTAATTACGTGATAAGCCCCTAATTTCGAGAGCTTTGTATTTACAGAGACTGAAGACCTTCAATTTGAGTAACTTCATGCTATAGGAGTGAAGATTGCACTTGATTATTATCAAGTAATAATCAATTTATACACCACAAACCAGACAAATTACCCGACATTTCTTGTCCCCAGTGAAAGAGCACATCGTACAGGACCCCATTTTCTTTACCAGTGACAGTAATCTCCGGCTCCTTAACTTCGAATTGACGTCCAAGCTTCTTCCAGTCGTGATACTTAATTGGTATATATATCTCCCCTTCCAGAAACTCAACGAGCATGCCTGCTGTGACTGAAACCACAAAGATGACAAGGAGGAATAAAACGATGGGTTTACTGCACAGTTGATCACTGTTTGTAACATTTTAAAGCCTAAATTGGGGGGTGGGTGGGGGAGGGGTGCAGCTCTGACGGTTGCAGGTTAAAGTTTCGCGATTTTGACGGTTAAATTTCAGGGCTTTTGACAGTTGACAGATATCTAGAGGGTATGTATACTATGAGTTTAAGTTAATACATGTATCAACTTTTTTTTTATCTCTAAGTATTAAATTTTGCGCTTTGGAGGTCGTCTTGGTCTTTTTACTAGAAGACCTACAATAATATACATTATTAAAAACTGGATCATTGGATAATGCAATTCGAGAGTTTTCATTGGCGTAGCCATTGTGGGTTATGAGCCATTATACCATGCTATACAAATATGGTAAGCGTACATGTGAATTTTTGGGGCATTTTTATTGTTATTTCAGTCTAGTTTTCTATATATTTTTTTCTTTTTTCTTTTTTTTTTTTTG